CACATATACGCTTGGATTGGGTCCAGAGACGAAAAAGCTACAAGATCACAGTCTTGTAGAGCCACCAAAGGGGAAGTAATATAACAGGAGCAGCCTTGTGTCGGGGAACAGGTTCCTCCGCATGACTTAAATGACTCCAGCAGGCACCCGAACCGGGATACCCTTTCGGGGGATTTGCTGCTGAACTCCTCCCGCATTCAATGCCTGTGCTCCTCCAACATTAAAGCAGTCCCTCAGAGAACAAAAGTCAGGCGGTTTTTCTGGAGACAGCCCAAGAACAAAAAAGTCTCCGCTAATCAGTTCCTGAACCAGAAAACCCCGCAAACTGATCGATCAATCATCTACAAGAAGCGGAAGAAGTGCAAAAGCGATGCTAGCTCAAGACAGGAACCGATGAGATGACGACCACCACCACGAGCGACAGAGAGTGCCGCTCCGCTCGTCTTCACTTGCTCGCCGCTTGGTTATAAGCTTCGTTGTTAGCAATAGACGGCGTCAGAGTGGCATTTATGCAAGTTTTAGTGACTCGCTCGCTCGCTGCTAGTGAGTGTGAGTAAGTGACACTGCACATTTAACACTTCCACAAGCTACAAGTGAAGGAATGAGCAAGCAGCTCTCTCTAGCTCAAAGAAAAGGGTGAGAAAGAAATGGAGATCTTGATTGACAGACCCACCTGTTCTTTAAAGCTCAGCTCTATTGCAACTTTAAAGGCCTCCTGTAAACTTGTGTGCATCGCATTGTTATAATAATATAATGGAGCCTTGCAGCAGGGGAGAGAAACAACAAGCTCCTTCTTTTTCCCCTCCCTCAATGTTCTTGTAAAGCTCCCCCCAAGTATCATGATCACCATCATCATCATGGCTGGGCAAAGCTCAACTTTGTGCAATGGTACAAGCTTCTTAGAACTGCTTGGCGCTTTGACTCAAACAAAGCCAATTTAAAAGCTCCTCTTCTAAGTTGTTTTCTTTTCCTTGCCCCTTTTTTCGATCCTAGGTAGAAATGGAAGGGAGCCGCGCTTCGGTTTCGTTTGTTTGCTTGTGCTCTTGTTCCTTGTGTGTTTGTTTATTCAGCAGTGGCATATATGCGATTCTCCGGGTAATCCAAGCACTAGCGATAATTAAGTACCATTGGCGCTGCCAGGCAAGTCGCAGGGAGTGGCCGAAGAAAAAAAAATACACTACAGCCATGATGACACTATGATAGGCATGCATTGCCTAACGATCATGTATAGATGCATCCATATCCATGGAGCGAAAATCGAAATGATAAAAAAGAGAAAAAAAGAAAAAGAGAATATGAATGATTCGTTGACATCTTCCCGCCGTCGATTCCGCAGATGTGAGTACTGTCTAACAAATTGCTGGAGCGCCACCAGGGTGGCAAGCGAATATTCATCACACTCGTCAGGATGTTCGATAGGGATATATGAGATTTATAGCATGTGAGAGTCAGGTCAGGCCCCGAAGCAAATCGCGATCGCTGCTGGTAACAAGGAAAGCTATCTGTTTGTTTGCTTGTATACTCTGTACAAAACAACTACTATCCTTTTAAGAGCAGTCTACTGAGACTTAAACTTGGAAGTGAGTACAAGCTCTCACACATGTAAATGTATCTATAATATAGAGAGCTGTGCGCTTGCAAGATGAGCGGAAGAAAGCAAGCGAGAGCACTGATAGGGAGAGCGCGTGTTAGCTGGAAAGCTTCCAGAAAACGAAGGTTTTTCCCTGCCAGTCAAATGGCCTGTGCCTAAACTGCCAGAATGCTAGAGTCGGCGATGTTGATCTCTAGGGACACCTTGGTCTCTCTTTGTCTATCTACAATCCGGCCACTTCTACTGCGGCTCAGGCTCTTCCACCCTGGAGAGAGGCCAGGCCTGTACGATCTGGGATTCGGTTCACCCGCTCTTGGCTCGCTTGCAAGCGCGCTCGCACTTTTCGCGCAACTGCTGTGATTTTCCTCGCTTGCTTGCTGCGACACCCTACACTGCATGTGGGTGTCACTGTTTGTTCGGATTGGGCAACTGTAAGTTATGCCACAGCTACACACGCTATTACTTAAAAAACATTTGCCACCTAATTACGCACGTCATGCAAGTTTACTGCCGCAAACCAATCGAGATTTGAGAATCGATGTTATATTAAACCTAACGCGTAAAGGTGGTGGTGGCTGTCGGCAGCAGCATCCTTGCTGTCGGTGAAGTTATATGAGGAGATTCCCGCAAGATGCTTCCATGCACGCATTGCGTTGCCATCGCCAGGGGTGGCCTACGTGGCGACGTGGAACTTTCCATGCCCCACGCGCGAATATTCCGTCAGGCGTCCCGCGTCCGCGTTTTGGCCATGTGCTTTGGGCAGACGGTACGGAAAGCTGCCGGGCCATGCGATGTGATAGCCATGGCATGTCGCGATGCCCTTGACTTACATGGCCCCCCCATGCATGCATGTACCGCGCCCACGTGGCTTCCCCCATGCATGCATACTATGACACACAATGGCCATTGTGTAGGTGTACTTGTAGAGGCGCCCCTTCCGTACGTATGGAGTGTTTTTAACCAGGGGAATAAACAAATGTGGGGTGCAGGAGGTTGAAAGGAATGTTATCGTTAAATAGCCTGCGAAAATATTTACTTTGACAGCTGATCAGGTAAAATAGTACGCGGGGCATATTTCCCCGGGCAGATAAAAAAGAATTTTGTGGTTGTCGTGAACAAGGCCGCAACCCGATGACAGCCCTTCCCCCGCGAATTGCAACTGTTTATTACTTCACCCCGTTCTGTTTTGCTGCTTGCTTCCAGAATGCGAATGTGACTTCAGGGGCAGAATTTAAGGCATAAATGGTATTAACATCAGACCAAAAGTTTGTTTGAATCTACCCGAAGAATGATCGGTAATAAACTGTTTTCGAGTGTAATAAGTAATAGTCTGCTGAGACTAATAAGTAAACAGCCCGAAGTGCAAATCAAAACAACAACGTTCTTGACTTTTTTTTATGTAATCTTCATTCACTACTGCATGTATTAGCCATATGCTGTAGAAAGGCAGAATGCCATGAGTGTAAGGATGGCGCTTTGGTCTTCCCAACAAAGACAAGTTTGCTCGAAGAAGACTTTTGGCCAGTTGGGATGATGGGTATATCTTCTGGAATCTCAAAAACTCAAACATCACACGTAGAAAGGTTCATGATTGCAGATTTTGCATAGCAAATTCTAGAGAATTTTAGAAAACTTCCTCTCGTATGAATCAACGTAAAAATCCTGGCTTGACTTCCGTTTAACTAATCATGACTTGCTTTTGGGAGCTTCAATTGACCTCGCCAGTATGCATATTGACCGGGCTTTAGGCCTGGAAGAATGCAAACTATCCCCCCTTGGAACCGCCTCGAACAGTTAAAACAAATAGTTAGTAGATCCAAATTCTTGAGCTGGTGTATGCTGACAGCGATTGAAGCGATCAAGGCGAGAAAAAGAAAGCTTAGGAAGACATCCCAACAAAGGAAGGAAGCCTGGCTGTAACAATCTATACTGCTTCTTTCTGGCTCGAGGGAGTGGAAGCAATCTAGGTAGATGGAGGATCATACCTATAAAAATTTGACATTGTCGAGAAAGTAGCATCGTAAGTGATGGTGACAAGAATTGGGCCTCTTGTTTGTACAACATGGAGGGCAAGCAAGCAAAGCAAATTTATATATATTATGTAGACCATATCAAGGATGGCCAACGTTTCATGTTTCCACTGCTTGGAACTAGTAGGTACCACTGTAGGGTCCCTGAGTTGAAAAGAAGTGAGATCTTGAGGTCCCACGTCGTACACATATATTCGCCACGTATATACAAGGGAGAGACTACATGCGTTCATGGAAGTGTGTGCGGCACTAGATTTGCATATTGTGTTTAAAATGCATTGTTTCGGCTCGAGCTTCCATGGTTTCGGTCATATTTTGACAGGGCTGTGGCCACACGGACACAAAGATACTTCCCGGCATATGAATGACCCCAAATGCTACTTACAAACTTTTATATGCATGCATGAATCATCGGTACGTGGTGGTGGGAATCTGCTCCCAAATACGGGGTCGTAAACTGTCTAGCAACTTGTACAAGACGACACTTGCAAGAAATATACGTAATGTGTCCAGCGGGCATGGAAGAATAAAGAGATTGAAATGCCGTCGCTACGTTATATGGATGGGAATCGGGTTGGCAGAAAGAGCGCGGGCTAACCAAGGACTAACTATGGCGGTTTAAAAGTAACTTGGTTGGGAAATATAAATATAAAATGGTCTGAACAGTCTGAAACAACGCGGCATTGGAAGCTTTTGGTGCCCGTCTCTACATTTGCATGGCTACATGGTTTGGTTTTTGGCAAATTTATATTCGGGGAGACTAGCGTGTTTGAAAGACGGGAAAGTTGGGTCTCTTTTGCAGTGCATTGACTTGGGGAGAAAGGATCGTGTTTTCATGTGCTCGGCTGCTTGTGATGCCGGGGATTCTCTTTCTTCTGGTCCTGTTGCAACGCTTACAGATGTCTGCCTGATTGAGAGGGTGGTGGCTTTTCTGAAAGTTTTGAGTTTTGTGTGAAAGTGTGTCCGTTCCCTGGCTATGGAGAAGAGCAGAATAGTCGCCGAAAGAATTGTAACAAAGAGTGACCTTTACACCGTGTGTGCACGCAGGGATTTTGGACGAGAGCTTCGAATACAAAAACTTCCCCTCAAGCGCGTTGCTAAAGTTCCAATCCGTGCGAGTCGATCCATGACACGAGAAGCTTCCGCCTTTTCCCCTTTGTCGTGGGGACGCAGTGGATTTGATGGGCGATGCAATCCCGTCTCTGGAAGTAACACAACACAACAAAACGAGTTGTTTGAGTGAGCCACAGTTTGTCTGGAGGAAAGGGCCCAGGCCTACCGCATCTCGACTCACCTCACCTCGCTGGAGCAAAACAACAAACCAAAAGAATGGATGGATGGCTGCCAATCCAACCACCAGTAGCTAGCAAGACACGATCGAATCCAAATTTTAGTTCCCTCGTCTGTGCTTTGTGCCGAAAGCTAGAGCTAGAAAGAAAGCAAGCTCCTTTGACGCATACTTATCTATCTATATATGAACGCCTTGCGGATGACATCCTTGGACATGATAGATGCCTCTCAGTCAGCTTCCGGCTATACAGTTATAGATGTCAAACCAAGAAATTGAAAAGATGGAGAACAGTACGAGGATTCAGACAAACCCGTCAAACATCAAGTCGAGGATTTTCTCGGGCGTTATTATACTTCCAGTACAGAGCGGCTACCAGATTTGCAGACGAGTGAGCAAGCATAGGCACGCATAAGTCCGATGTCCACACGGCTGCAAAGCCGTAAAGCAGCCCAACGAAAGACGCCCTGGAGAACAAACCAACAGGAAAGTTCTTATCAAATATAACTGCTGGCACAAAAAGCTTACCATGTTGCGAAGGCAATGTTTCTACCACCTGTAACGTGCAGGGCTCCAAAAACAATTCCAGAGACGAAAACTCCCTTGGCATCCATTCCAACAAGTGGTAGCAATGCACCTCGAAACAAAAGCTCCTGTGTATACAAAAGAAAGACTTATAACAAGAAAAGTTTGGAGCCTAGAGTACCTCACCCACGCCGGAGGAGAACGCGACTGCGGCACAGTCCCACGTCCCCAGGGATGACAGAACCTGTGGTGACGCCACGATTTGGAATGTTACTATACTCGCGATGAAAGTTTACCCGCTCGTTCGCAGTCTTGGTCGACTGAGCAAAGTCTGGCCAGGTCGCCAGCAATCCCAGTCGTAGCGCAGATATAAACGCTACAAGGCCTATAGTTGCTCCAAAATGCCACGGATGAATCTCATCTATACACAAGACGAGAAAAAGACGAAGAACAATAAATATGTAAACTAAGGAGCAAAATAGAAAGGCTTACATCCGAGCAAACTTGTACAATCCCTCGACAGAAATTCCAGAGAATGAGAGGCCTGCTTGTTTTCTCTTTGGTAAGATTTCTGGAATGATTCCATTTACCTGCCGGAGAGCCAAGCCTGCCGCGGCGAGTCCAGCAGACGTGAGGAAACAAGCATTGAGCACAGCTTCTCGCTTTGCCGGTGCTGCCGTTGCCTTAGACGCTACTGGGCTTTCTCGTGCTTCCGATGGCGCTGGGATTGAAAGCTTTTCTTGTGCTGGCTTATCGCCAGAAACTTTGTTCGACCTTTGGCGGTTCCTTGACGCTGTTATGCCTATGCAAACTAGAGTGAATTCTAGATAGACACCATCACTTACTTGTTCTTGAGCTTGGAACAAAATGTAGCAGCAAGGTCACCGTCGCCATGCTATCATCGAAATTACATTCCTAGAAAGAAAGCCCTAGGAAGACGGGCACACACGCAAAACACTTTTGTTGCTAGTGCAAAGTCTTCGTTGCGAGTTCCTGAGATCGCGAATGAATCCTGGCTTGACGACTTCCGTGGTGACGGTGAGGTTTCCCAGGAGCATGCCAACGACGCTACTCATGGATGGCCGTGCCGAGGGAGAGGCCTGCGTGCAGTGAAGAGCAACCATCACCACCCTCTCCACTTCTGCTGCCGCGCATGAAATTACAAGCCTCGTGTCCACGAGAGAGAGCAAACGACCACCCTCGAACAAAGTCCATGCCTGTGATCGCTAAACTTCAGTTCAGCGTTAGAAAGTTCATCAAGCTTGGTTTTTGTTTCTCACCCGGTCGAGAAGGAAGATTTCCTCGTCAGGCAGCTCCAGGTTCATGTTTGGTCGCCCACTTACAATCTCGAGAGCAAGGATTCCAAATGCGTAGACATCTGCCTTCTCCGTGAGCTGGCTAGTGAACAAATATTCTGGAGCAACGTAGCCACTGTATTAAAAAACACGTAAAGAATCATCAGAGTTGCAAGCTTTTGAAGAGGAAATTGTACCAAGTTCCGACAACTCCAGTGCTGAGGTGAGAGCAACCAGCTTCCATGAGCGTTGCCAGCCCAAAATCCGAAATTTTTGGATTCAAGTCCCTGTCCAAGAGTACGTTGCCCGCTTTGATATCGCGATGAATCATCTTGATTGTGGACTCCTCATGCAGGTAAGCCAGTCCACGAGCCACTCCAACGCATATTTTGAATCGATCGCTCCAGTCAACGAATAAGCAACCTTGCAACAATTTTTAATATTCACTTGAAAAGTGAATATTTAGTAGTTTCGACGAACCAGATACCTCCAAGTAAGATTTTCGAGAGGCTGTTGTTCTCCATAAACTCGTAGACGAGGAGACGATGCTCGCCCTCGGCACAAAAGCCCAGCAGTCTCACCAAGTTTTTGTGCTGGACAAAGGAGATCATGGAGACCTCGTTGATGAACTCGGCACCTTGCTGTGGACGGTTTGGCGCTCGCATCAGCTGCTTGATCGCCACGATCCCCTCCTTTTCCAGCACTCCCTGATTGAGAAGTTCTGGTCCGAGTGATCGATCTATGGTATCTTTACGTACCTTGTAGACTTCTCCAAATCCACCTTGACCGAGCTTGTTCTTGAGATAAAAGCCTTGGGTGGCCTTGTGTAGCTGCAGAAAAGTGTAGCGCTCCAATCTCCTTTCCATGTCGCCGCTGTTCTCTAGGATTTCATAGAAAAGCACGAGTTAGCAGATTTTGGAACCATGGCTGCATATATAAACCATGATGGAAAAGATCTCGAGAGCCACGAGCGTCCGTGTAGCTCTCTTGATCCTGCTCCTGCCGAATTTGCATCCTCTTCCTCCACAGGAACACAATGGTGACCAAGCAGGAAGTGTAAGTGAGGATCACCAGACAAATCCCAGCAATGAGCTTGGACATATCAGGCGATCCGGAGCCATCCCCACCAGCAGAAAGCGGAGATGGCGCTGCTGCAGATATGTACTCCCTGCCGCCGCTCATACGAAAAACAAAACATGAAAAACTTGTTCTTGCTTTATGCTCAAGTGGTGCACGGGTATGACGGAGTCCGCTTGAGAGCGAAAAAAGTCGATTGTTTGAACGCTTCAGGCCAAGACAAAGTAAGTGACAGGATTTGTATCCGCGCTCTGACTGGAAAAAAAAAGAAGCAAGCAAAGGAAGCAAGGAGAGAAGCTCCAAGTTATATAAGATCTTAGTCCGTCAACCTTTGGATTTACTTGAAGAGCTCGCTTCCCAGAGTCACTACCGTCGGGCCCTCGCCGGCTGCGACGATGCCGCCTCTCTCCTTGTCCAGAATGCGCTCCACTTGCTGTGACACTTGACTCATCGTGGGCCTCTTCTCTGGACTCTGGGCTGTACAGTGGAGGCCCAGCAGTAACAAAGTGCCCGCTTCTTCCGTCCCTACCAAGCTCTTGTCCACCATTCCCTCCATACTACTCGACGATTCCTGGAGCGACCGTGCCTGTGTAAGTTAAGTTCCACAAACGACGCACTGCGTGTGAGCTCCACCAGGAGATCGAGCCATATTGGCGAAAGCGACGCTACTCACCCATTCCACGATGCCGGGAGAAGGCTGTGCTGGTCGGCTCCGGTTTATTGCTTGTCGCCCGCTTATGAGCTCAAGCAGGAACACACCATAGCTGTAGACGTCGCTCTTTGGATCCACGCGGTACGTGTTATATCTGAAGAGAGAGACAAGAGAATGAGAGGAAGACAAAGCCAGAGATGGATGCATGGCTACTCACACTGCTGCCGGATCTGCGAAGTGGCTGCTGGAGCCATTTGCTGACGGCATTGCGTTGTGGCTCGTCACCAGCAGCTTGGACAGGCCTACATCCGTAACTTTCGCCACCAAGTTCTCGTCCAGGAGCACGTTGCTTGTCTTGAAGTCTTGGTGCACGCGGGGTGGATTCCCAGAATGTAAATATTCCAATCCTGATCCATAGCCGCAAGTTAGTACACAATCCTAGAGAATCACATCAGCACCTCTGGCAGCACCCAATGCAATTGCTACGCGTTGCTTGAAATCCAGCTCTCCAGTTGGATTCCCATTAGGATCTATCCCAAAGTTAGATCCAGCAAGACAAGGGAGGCCAGCTACGTACCACATAAATGACTTGAAACACTCCCATTGGGCAGATAATCATAAACAAGCATTTGGTGGTCGTGTTCCTGGCAAAAACCAAGCAGACTAACCACATTCTTATGGCGAAGCTGGGACAGATTAACGACCTGCATGAAGAAGCAAGAGCGTTGGTTGTGCGAGATCTTGTTAACTATGTCTTTACCTCCGTGACAAACTCTTGTGTAGGAGCGCTAGCTCGCGTCTTGATGGCCACAATAGTTCCATCTTCAAGCAATCCTTTGTAGACTAAACCAAAGCGTCCTCTCCCAATCAGGTTGGATGGATTAAATCCCTTGGTTGCATGGTCGAGCTCTTGAAACGCAAACTGCTTTGCATGCTGGGCTTCCACGGCTGCGGCGATCGCTCCTTCTGTTAGAGAGCTTTCGGCTCTTCCTTTGGCCCAGTCCACTACGCACTCGGGAAAGAACTCTTAGAACGCTACTTATGATCATACTTCAAATGGTTACCTTGAGCGGAAGGATCTGAGGAGGCGGTGTCGGAAGTAGCACTCGGCCAGTGCCTCACGCGCATCAAGCACAGTGACACCAGTCCAATTGAGATTGCGACGAGAACCACCGCTCCGACTACTGCTCCAGCAATGGCACCAGCGTGAGATTTGTGGCCACCATCTTGGTTTTGAGGCATTCCCTCGCCGGGACCAAACACCAGAGCTGGTGCCAGAGAAGGCGAGCATGCTGGACACGAATCCAGGTTTTCGCTCAGCCTGAATCAAGCAGAGTTGAAGTTACTCGACCTCCAGCTCTAGGAACTGAAATGAGCTTACCTTACATTCGTCGAAAGCTTCGAGGACCATGAAATGTTGAGCGAGTTGCCATCCAGAAAGCTGAGGAAGACAAAAAGTTATGAAAACAATCCCAACTTTACGTAGAACTTACAGCTCTTTCAAGTTGGGCAATGTTGCGAATGCTGCTGGGACTTGTCCGCTCAGATGATTTCCAGATAGACGCCTGCAAACAGAACCAGCAAAAGAAAACGTGGCAAAAGTTTGAGCAACGAGCCAAGAACAAGGCTTTGAAGAATCTAAAGCAAAACAAGCACACAGTACATATTCTTTTCAAGGAACGTGAATCCAAAAGAGAAGGACCTACAGAGAAGTTAGGTTCTTCAATTTACCAAGACCAGAGGGGATTGTTCCATAGAGATGGTTACCATCTAGCCATCTGCACAAACCTTGTCGTGATTATCATCCATGATATCCAACCAAACGAGAGCGGCGGCCAAAAACTTACAGGATAACCAGGCTGCTCAGCTTCTCCAGTTCCGACGATAGCAATCCGTGAAGCCCCAGAGCTGACAACGTCCTGGAGTTTGGAAACATTTTTTTTCCATTGTTTGTTCTTCGCGGAGAAAGAAAAGAAGTTGAACTACTTACAGCGAGACAACGGCGCGGCTATCTCCACCACATTTGATTCCTCTCCATGACGACGAAGCCGAGCAAGGATCGTCGCCCATCCAGCTGCGAAGTTGCGGTGGATCCCCAAGAGCGTGCTTGAAAGCCTGCAAGGCATCCGCTGGAAAAACGAGACTAAGGATGATCCAAGAGGAGAAGCCTATGTAGCGATAGTTACCAGCTCCAGGCTGTGCAAAGACGAAAAGCGTGCCCGTATTCCATAGCGCCAGAGCTCCTAACAGTACCACTGAGCTCCACAAACTCATAGAAGGCTCCATATGATCATTGTCGCTGCCCCCGAGCCCAAACGAGAAAGAGCGGAAAAAAAAGAGCGCTTCCAATCTAGCTGCTGCTGCTGCTTGGGTCGACCAGCATTTCCATTCCAAAATGAGAGTGAGAGAAGAACCTAAAACCCCCGAGCGGAGAGGGAGAGGGAGAGAGAGAGAGAGAGAGAGAGAGAGAGAGAGAGAGAGAGAGGAGGGTATTCCCAAAGTCCGCCGATCCAGAGGAGCAAGATACTTACACACTGGTTGGCAAAGGAAAAGAGGAAAGGAGGAACCCTCTCTTCTCTCTTCTCCGTCCCGTGAAAGAGACTTGGTCCAAGTTAAAGTGATTGGCAGTAATGTTGTGTGGCAGCACCAGTCTCTCTAAAGAGAGAGAGAGCGAGGGAGAGAGAGTAGGGCTTAGCTATAAGCTTTGCTTCTCCGTTCGGTGGTGATGGTTGTTTCTGCGACAGAAGAAATTAACTCCACTGGGCATTCAGAGCTTGTGACTCACTGTATAGCGGCAGCAGCCAGCCAGTTGTTCGTCTTGTGGAGGAATTTACAACGCCACCAAGGATCTATCAATGTATCTATAGCTCCCCCCTCCAAAAAAAAAAAAGAGAGCGAGCCCCTACATGGTGTTGGTGTTGTTTTCCTTCGCAGAGGAGCATTAACAGCGACACCTTGCTCGCTCGCTCTCGCCCGCCATAGCTGTGCCTGTGTTGAGCTCGCCTTCGCAGTCCTGTTTTTATTCGACTGGCTGCCAGCTTTGTTTTTGTATATCTTTTTCCTTCCTCCTTGCTGCTTATCCTACAGAAAAAAACACTTGGCGATTGTTAATGAAAAGCCTCCAAAAGCCAGATTCCAACTTGCTTGTCTGCTTCTCACTACAGTTCTTTTGACATCGCCTCTCAACAAATGCAAAGCAGAAAAAGAATGTGAATGTCTGCCAGGTCTCATCATCCAGCGACAAAGTGAAGAGAAAAAGTATCTATCTATCTATCTCGGAAAAGCTTTGCTTTCTCCAACTTGCTCGCTAGAGGCCCTACACTACACTTCCATAGCAAAGCAACAAATAAACAAAGGAGAATGCGTCCTGTCCTCTCACATCTCATCTCGTCACCATCTCTCAAAGGTCCCTGTAGCTTCTCATGACGCAGTGGGCCAACAATCCAAGAATCGAAATGGATGCACTTAATAGAATAGACGAGCTATACAGAAAGTCAAGACTCCCAACCCAAGAAGCTCATGCGAGAAATGCTACGGTGGCTGGCGAGAGTCACTTGCCTCGTGAGCGTGAGCGAGCCGAATAAAAGAATGAATGTTGATAGCTTCCCATCCGAAAATCACCTTGGCTGCTCAAGTTTTACTCCGCTCCTTGACTTGTTTCACCTGGTGGTGGACATAAATACCACAGTCAGCACTCTTTTACGTAATAATGAAAGACACCATCGTACCTTTGGCGAGCTTTCACCTGAGCAGATTCAAGGCACACGACGTACCCGATTAAAGATGGCACCAGCAGCAGTAGCAGCAACGCGCCCCTGGCCCCTCCGGAAAGACAATAAATAAACCAAGATGGAGCCATGATCGTCAACTTCGTTGCATCTGTCCCGTGTGTGTCACCAGTAATCACCGCACGAACAGCTCGCGTCCATGGGACGGAAGTGGTGGACGCGGTTGCCTTCCCTGACGGATATGTCTCTCCCGGTCATCTTGCAGATGTGCTTGATCTCGCCGTGGCAGCACACGCACATCCGCAAGTTCTTGACGACGAACAGCGGTACACCCGGCGGCGAGCTTATCGCACCGAAAGCAATCGCCAGCTTCTCGTCGTGGTACCCCCGCACGTCATGCAGCGGCACGAACCCCGCCTCCTCCATCTCCTCGCTCCACTCACGCAGCTGAGCTCCGATCTTCTCGCCCAGCCGGTGCAGCCCAGCTCTCACTCCAAACTCGTGCACCACCCCGTTTACTTCGATGTAGCTCCGGCTCTGTTCCTTCTTCATCGCCCTCTCGCCCGCCAACTTTGCCAGGCTTTTCACCGCGTCCAGCATGCCGATGGCCGCGAACATGTTGGACAGCAGCACGTAAGGTGACGCGTTCTTCGGGTCGAGTCCGAGAACACGCCTCGCAGCTCGCAGGCCCCTCTCCACGTCCGAGTGAATCACGCACGATCCCAGCAGCGACATCCACAGCACCGAGTCGAGGCTGAACGGCTTGCTGCTGATGAAAGCCTCCACTTCTTCGAGCTGTCCACTGCGACCGAGAAGATCCACTAGGCAGCCGTAGTGCTCGCTCGTCGGGACGAGGCAGTGGCCGTAAACCATCGACCGGAAGTAGCTCACGGCTTTTGCGACCAGTCCGTTGTGGCTGCATCCGAAGAGCATGTTGAGCAGCGTCATCTCGTTGGGTTGAGCACCGTCGAGGTCCATCTCCTGTAGCAGCTCGGCACTCAGTGTCTCCTCCCCGTTCTGCGAGCTCGCGGCCAGGATTGTGTTCCACGTAACAATGTTCTTGAAGCTCAGGTGGTGGAACACTTCCAAGGCATAGTCGAGGCGGCCGCATTTCCCATACAAGTTGATGAGCGAAGTTCCGAGCACCACGTCGATTAGATAGCCGGTGACAATCACCCGCTCGAAGATAGCATGACCCTCTACCAGCGCTCCAATGCTGGAGCACGCATCGATGGTGCTCACGAAAGTCACCACGTTAGCCTTGACACCCTCGAGATCCATTTTCCTGAATAGAGCCAGAGCACTCCGCCCCTCGCCATTTCTTGTTAAAGCCGTGAGCATGGCTGTCCACGAGATGACGCTGCTGTGTGTCGTTACTCCCTTGTGGAAAACGTCCACGGCGTCACCCAAGCTTCCACACGCCGAGTACATGGTGATGAGTGCGCTGAGAACCGTGAGACTAGAGTCATAGCCGGCGTCGACGACGTGCTTGTGTATGTCCCTGCCTGCTGCTAGATGCTCCGCCAACGAGCATGACTCGAGCACGTTTACGAAGGTGATCTCATCGGGCTCGACGCCGGCAGCCTCCATGCTCACGTACAGTTGGAGAGCCTCGTCTGTATATCCCTCCTGTGCGTAACCAGCGATCATCACGTTCCAAGTCACCACATTCTTCCCGGGCATTCGGTCGAAAACTCTCCTCGCGTCCTCCAAACTCCCACACCTCGAGTACATGCTCACCAGCGCGGTGTTGACGACCACGTCGGGGCGGAGCTTGCTGAGGATGAAACACATGTGTGCTACGCGAGCATCCGAGTAGACGCCGTTGGTGGCACAGGCGCGGAAGAGGAGCGCGTAAGTCACCTGATTTGGCTGCAGGCCGCTGGGCTGGATGCGGTTAAACGTCGACACTGCGTCGACCGTGTAGCCGAGTTGGATGTATGCCGAGATCATGGCGTTGCAGCAGGCCAAGTCCTTGTTGCGAGCTTGATCAAACACCACCTCCGCGTGAAAGATGTCGCCACACTTCGCATACATGTCGATCAGCGCAGTCACTAGGACGACGTCGTACGTGAGTTGACAAGTAGCGGCAGCTCTGGCGTGGATTTTCCGAGCCTCATCCCAGTCCCCGAGCTCGGACACGGCACCGATCACTGTCGCCAAAGTCACAGCATTCGGCCACACTCCCAAGAGGTCCATTTGGCGGAGAAGCTCGAGCACCGTCTTGTGATGCCCGTTCTGGGCATAAGCAGCGAGAAGAATCGTCCACGAGTAGACGTTGGGGTGGCGGATAGAACTGAAAACCAGCCGTGCATCCTTGACGCAGCCACACTTTCCATATGCTTCCACTACGCAGTTGAGCAGCAATCTATCCCCGGAGAAGCGCTTGCTGTGGGAGATGTGTGCCTGTATCGTCTTCAAGGCGGTGACGTCCCCAGCCTGTTTCAACAGGGAAACGTAGGCGGCAGGATCGACAAAATCCGACTTTTGGTTTTGCTCTTCAAGGCTTGCCAGCCTCTGCTTCACATCTTCGTCCGAAAGAGTGGGAGGAGCAAGAGGAGCGTAGTCGTGTGCTTGAGGCTCTTCCACTACCGCAGCCCATAGATTGAACTCGCCACCGGTAAATGCTTTATCTTCGTGGAAGTGCCGCTGCTGCTGCTGCTGCCGAAGGAGCGATGGTATGGAGAGTCGGAACCGCTTCTTCAAGCCATGCATTGGCCATTCAAGCTATAGCTTGCAGAATGCCAAGCCGAAATAGCGGAAAACTCACGCATGGTAGAGCTTCGATCCACGAAGATATTGGAGCAGCTTGCGATCACATAGCCTACACACACAGTAGGATAGATGAGAAAGATAGAAAGGAAAGAAAACTCTACCACAAGATTTTGGCAGCCATGGATGTAAGGAAGAAATCCCAGAAATCGAGGCCTCAAGCTCAGGTTTTGCGCCGCGCCGCCTCTAACGCTGCGGCAAATGCGGCCTTGTCTTCCATGCTCGGCGGCTTCTCATTCGCCTTGACATAGCGGTGAACATCGTAAGTGGTCGCGACCAGGACGACGATCCTGTGCAATGCAGGCGCGCATCGATCATCGATTGGAAATGCGCGATCAAGGGAAAGAGAGCTCACCCGGCGGAGTAGAGTAGCACCTTGCGCAGCGGCGGAGAGGCCATGGCTAAAGAGCCCTAGGTCGTCTAGAGAAATCCCTTTAATCTCTAGCTAGGCCTAGGGTTTTAAGGAATTATGGATGGAGCGAGGCGAGGGCGCTAGGTTGCGTCGCGATGTGGCTATGCCTGGAGCATTTCTACTCGGGAATTCAGCACGTACTAGCGCTGCTCTCGCGATGCTTCGAGCACAAGCGCGTGGAGAGGGAGGATTCCGAGTCGATTGCACGGGATACCAATTGTAAGTGCCGGCATTTGGCTCGATTCTTACGGGGGCTTCCATTCCAGTTAGCGTCAGCGAAGTGGAAGCGCTGTATGAGCTCTTTAAGAAGATAAGCTGCGGTGTGGTAGACGATGGTGTGATCAACAGGGTAAGAGGCTATCTCTCAATTCTTCTTCGAGGTATCTGAGAATACTTCTCCAATCAGGAGGAATTCAAGCTTGCTCTATTCAAGAGCAGCAGGAAAGAAAGCATATTTGCAGATCGGGCAAGCAGAGGAAAGAACCACTGGACTGTGGACTGACTTACGTTTGCGTTCCAGGTGTTTGATCTCTTCAACGTCAAGAAGAACAATGTTCTCGATTTTGGAGAGTTTGCACGGGCTCTCTCTGTATTCCATCCAAATGCTCCCATGCAAGACAAAGTCGCATGTAAGTTTGAGTTCGTCAAAGTCGCTGAGGTTCTCATGTAACACTCCGATAGTTGCGTTTCGTTTGTACGATTTTAAGCACCAAGGCTACATCGATCGCGGCGAGGTAAGCATTTCTATGGTTTCTCTTCTAGTCTGGAAACCATTCTTTGGTTTGCCTCGCAGGTGAAACGAATGGTAGTAGCGACGTTAGCGGAGTCCGGTATGAATCTATCGGACGAGGTCGTGGAGAACATAATAGATAAGGTAATGCCTCACGCTTCTTTGTCTCTATAGAGCAGAAACTTTACATGCTCGACACTCATAGCGTTACCTGGCTTAAGCGTTGTAGACGTTCGAGGAAGCGGATACCAAAAGGGACGGCATGATTGACGAAGAGGAGTGGAGCAACCTTGTACAGAAGCACCCCTCTTTGCTCAAGAACATGAGCCTCCTCTACTTGAAGTAAGAATGATTTTCTGATGATCTCCCCTTCCAACGCAAGATGCCGCTTTGTTATGATCAGGGACATTACGACTACGTTTCCAAGTTTTGTATTCCATTCGCAAGTCGAAGATACATAGAAAGGATTCTAAGATAATTCTTTTCGATATGACATTAGATTGGGGTAAGTTTCCAGATCTGATATTCAATTCCTATAAACTTGAGATCGTGTTCTTCGGTGCAACTTTACTAAGAACAGATCATGTTTTTATTGGCAACTTTACAATCAGAGAAAGTTTCTTTTGTCCTTATCACTTAGAACAAAGCTCATCAGTACTTGAGCTTCCAGATCTTGATATTCTTCCACCTGGATTCCATGTACTCACTAGCGTTGGACTGTGCATACACTCCACACTTGAAGTAGTGCGTCTTGCGGCTCTCGTTCACTTCCCAGTGCTTGAGCTTTCCATCCAGATAGATGCGAAGCATCATATTGTCCGCGTCGTGGATAACATTGAGATGGATCCATCTGTTATAGACATCCGTCGCCAAGGTCGAGTGTGGCAAGTCGGCTCCACTTCGAACTAAATCTCCATGCCCGTCGAGCCGAACTTGGAGCGCAGTGGCAGCGCTCTTTCCCCCAAACACTTGCATCACACAGGCACCCTTTGTGCCCGAGGGAACGTAAAAGTCCCCCTCGAATTGCCAGATCCCTTCCAAGTACTCTGGTCTCTATGAAAAACAATGAGAGAAATCGAGAAGATCATGTCGACCAACTTACTAGAAACCGGAGCTCGGTTCTTGGCATCGTGTGACTATCAGGGCTGTGGGTCTTGTCCGAAGTGTAGACCCACAGTTTGTGGACGCCATTGCTGACGCTGTAGCGATCAGAGACTTTGAGATCATACGGCTTCTGGATCACGTAGGAAACTGGCTGCTCGACAAAACCGGAAGTTGGATCGATGCCGAATGCCAGAGTGCTGAATTCAAGAGATAGGAGTAGCAAGGCAGCACAAGCAAACGCCATTGCAGCACAAGAAAACGCCATTGCAGCACGAAAGAAAACGATGAAACAACGAGCCTACTTTGGAAAATACAGTGGAGTGTGATCAAACCTATACGTACTTGGATCTGTGATTTGTCGTTCCTGCGTGGGAGGGGATTGTCCGAAGAGTATAAACTCTGGAATATTTGGATTCGCGAGTGGAATCACTCTTTTTGCTTCGTTAACATTCCTAGAAAACTGCCAAGAGAGATTTAAGTACATCATAGCTTACTTACAATCCTTGTGTGTTGGTTGGTTCTTGCGTGCCGAGTAAAAATCTGGCTTGTTAGAAAACGAGAAGAAACGATTAGTCGCCTCGGACGTCGCACAGCCGGAGATGTCTCTGAGTTCTCGTGTCCATGAGCCAGCCTTGGACTTGGTAGCCAGCACACACAAGCCGTCCTTCGTTGTTTCCCCATACGTGAAACGGCGAATTCATCTCCAAGAGATGTGCTTCTACTGCTCGCTTGACGGCGCTCTCGCCAGGAACTTTGCTGTGCTTTCCCCAGCCCGTCAGGATGCTGCCATGAAAACCAGGCCGGCCGAGGAGAGCTTAGATCTTGAATGACACGAAAGAAAGGACGCTGTAAGTTACCTCATATACTTTGGCAGCACCGATCGTCTCTGGCACAAAAACTTTCGGATGTAGAGCAACCACAAGTGAAGCATCGCCTGTGCCGAGCCGACCGACATGAAGTGCAAGTCGAGAAAAAACTGCTGCTCGGAATGCCACCATGCTTTGTCCCAAACATGCCGGTCCTTGGCTGCCTCTACGACTCTTTGAGCACTGTTCCTCTGAACAAAAGAAAAAAAAAAATGTGACTTTCAGGATTTAAATCCAAAGAAGAAACGCGCCTGCTCGAAGTGCCACAAGACATCTGTTAGTGCGTTGTAGAATGCCACGGCTGTGTTGTGTCCTAGCGTCGTTAGCTCGTTAAACAACGTCTCGGCGTCTCTCCATACTCGAATCCTAAAGCCCATGAGCAAGCCGTGTGTAACTCCATACACTCGGCCGTCGAAAACTCTCATGGCCTCTAATAAATTGGATGCATCCTCCACCGATGCACAATGGCTGTATCATGCCAAAAAAAAAAAAAAAGGAAAAATCGAATTTTTTGTACCTATAAAAGAATTGAAGTACCTGCAAGCGTTGAGGATGGACGAAAACGTCACTACGTTGGGCTTGACACCGTTTTTAGCCATCTCCCGGAACACCCTCGCAGCAGCAAGCACGAGAGCTTGCTTCTGTTTGGGATCCACAAGAGACTGTTGATCGTCTTGCATCTACAAACACAACCAACACTGGGTTTTAAAAGCATCGTCACTCTTGGAAGAAGAAAAAATCGAAGTTTTGGAAAGGTTTTACGTACCATGAGGCACTGCCTTCCATAGGCATCCAGCAGCGAGTTGTAAGTAATAACATTGGGACGAATGCCATTGTCCGCCATCTCCTCGAGCAAAGCCAGAGCCTCGTCCGGCGATCCATTCTTACAGCAGCCATCGACGAGCGTGCTGTAGAGCACAACGTCGGGCTGGAGCCCGGCCTTCTTCACGTCCTGGAACAAAGCCATGGCGTCACGGTGGAATCCATGCTTGCAGTAGGCATCGATGAGCGCCGAGTACGTGAGAATGTTTGGAGAGGCCCCGCGCTGCTTCATCTCCTCGAGCAGCGACATGGCCTCGCGAAACTTGCCTTGCTTGCCGTAGGAATCGAGCAGCGCGTTGTAGGTGACGATATCCTTGGCGAAGCCAGCCTCCTCCATCGCCCGCCGGATGCTGTGGGCCTCGTCAAAGTTGCCAAGACGAGCGTGGATGTCGACCATGGTGTTGTAGCAAATCCCGTCGGGCTCCACGTTTTGGTTGCGCATCTCTTGAAAGAGCGCGATGGCTTCGTGAGCGAGGCCGAGCTTGGCGTATCCATCGATCATGGTGCTGTACGTGATGACGCTGGGCTCGATGCCGGAGCTCTTGGCCATGGTTTCCATGAGCGCAGCGCCGAGATGCATCTGTCCACCGCGGCAGTACGTCGCGATGAGCGTGTTGTAAGTCACGTCGTCCCGAGCGATGCCGCGCTCCTCCATCTCCGCGAAGATCCGGTCGCATTCCTCCCAGCGATTGGCTCGCCCGGCGGCGGAGATGAGCGTGTTGAAAGTGATCCTGTCGGGGGACATTCCCTGCTCCAGCATCTCTCGAAAGATCCGGAGCGCTGTCGGGTAGTCGCCACCTTTGCTGCAGGCGTCGATCACGGCGTTGTAGACGACGAGGTTGGGCTTGCAAACCACTTTCATGGCCTCGAAAATCTCCACCGCCTTGGCCAGCTTGCCGCTGCGGCCATAGGCGCAGATCAAGGACGAGTAGACGAACACGTTGTTGCCAAACCCAGCGCCTACTGCCCGATCGAAGATCAACTGCGCCCAATCGGATCGACCAAGCCGCCCGAGCGAGCTGATGATCGTGCTCGTCACCTTGTCCCACTGGCTGCGGAGATTCTGCTGGAGGACCATCCAGTCGAAGCTCTTGACCACCTTCTCCCACTGCCCCGAGTGGCCGAGCTCGCGGACAATGAATGGGAGATCGTCTGGGCCGAGGAGATGCGCCGAGACTTGGTCCAGCAATGCGGGCATGAGCGATGGCGATGGCGACTTGATCATGTGTTTCACGGCGGAGGAGAGCACGGGCTTGATCGGCTTGCCTGGAGCGCTGCTGGGTCGGCCCAGATGCGAGAGCTTGGAGACGAGGCGGGTGGATTTGCGGCCGCAGAAATCCGAGCCCAGCGATGGCGGCCGAGCGGCGGTAGAGGCGGCGGCGGCGGCGGCGGTGGCGGTCATGGCGGAGGCGCCCGCAGGGCATCGCCAGCTCGCGGCGGCATCAAGGCCAGCTCCAGAGATGGCGCTCGTCGCCCAGGGGGGGCTCCCGGGGCGCCCCCCAGCGAGCGAGAGGCGATTGCGGCGGCGCGGGGCGAATTCTTCGTGGGCGGCGCGGAGGATCTTACCGGCGGCCGGGGAGGAGCGGTCCAGTGGATGGGACGAGGACCAGGATCCGCGCGAGGAGGTGGGCTGAGGTCCATTGGGATTTGCCGCACTGCCCTGCGCAGTGCTCAGCGACGAAGAAGATGCTGACATCACCGCAAGCCCTAGTCCTAGTCACGCCGCGATATTTCATTTCAAGGCGTATCTTCTGCCATGTGGACTTTGGCTTACCCGCCACGTAGAATTAAAGTTTAGGGCTTGCCACGTCGGCTTCTTCATCTAGGGTTTATGGCGAGATCGAGAGCCAAGTACCGGAAGAACAGGCCCAAGGTGCGCGTTCGAGTGCCAAAGAAGCCCAAGAGGCCGCAAGCGCAGGATGTTGCCATCCCCGGCTCGCAAGAAATGTGAGTTTTGCTTTCTTCCAGCCTTGGGATCGAAGGATCGATCGCTTTGATTTGCAGACTTAAGCTAGATGAGAAGACCGTGACGGCGAGCTACAAATCGGCGGGGATTCTTGCCGATCCAAATCGTCTCCAGTCGCACGACTTGCCACTGACCGATGCTGTGATGGAATCGCTCGAGACCGACGGTGAGGGCCTCTTCCAAAGAGAAGAAAAATTTGATTTTGAGAGCTGCTTTTATAGATGTTCGCTCTGCTCTTGGCAAGAAACGAAGGGATGGGAAGAATGCTGGCTTGCAGCGTCTCACAAAGATGCAGAGAGTCCATATCGCGCGGCTCATCAAACAGTATGGGAACGACTTCGAGGTGAAACAACTTTGGATCGATCACTTAGCATTTCTCTCTCTTTCTCTTAATCGCAGGCAATGGCGAGAGACATAAAGCTCAACACCATGCAGCATTCTCAAGGAGTTCTCAGGAAGCTCTGTGCAAGGTTTCACGCGTACCATCAGCTATGAACTCCAAGACAATAGTTTTTTTCCCATGAACCAAAAAGAAATGGAACAACTTAACTTAGTACACGCCAGGGAGTACCTTGTAAGGAACTTCTCGGCAGTACAGGTCCCAGAATTTTTTGTACCTGGATAGGAAAAAATGTGTAAGAGCGTGAACGAAATGAAATGCGAGATCTTACTTCGTCCGGCATCTTTGATCGTCGCGGACGGCTCGGTCCAGGAGCAAAATTGTGAGAAAAACAACATAAAAGTATGGAAGGAACTGAAAATCCAAAAACCTCGAGGTTAGTCTTGCATGGCATATATGATCAGGAAACGTTCTTACGTGTTCGAAGAGAGCAGGCACAGACCAAAAGAAGGCCGCGGATATTTCTGGGACGTAGTGGAAGTGGCGTGCGAGCCCCCACCTGCAAATTCAAAGTTAAAATTTTGATTCTTCATAGACTGTCATGCTTACCAGCCGGAAGTTAAAAGCAAGCTCTTCTTTGTCTCTCCCTTTTCGGTCACGTAAGTGGCCTCAATCTACAAAATCCACCGAGCTAATAAGCTACCAGATAGATTTGCTTGTTTCAAAGTGTACCTTGCCTGGTGCTTTCCCCCATATTGTACATTTTCCGTTGGTGCTTCGGAAATGCTGGCGTTGGCGATCACAGTCGTAGTTTATATAGATACAGGCAAGACCTGCAACCAAAATGGCCAGAGCAAGCTAGATAGCAAACAAAACAGAGTGAGTGCCTTTGAGCAGTCCATAAAACACATCTACGATACCTGTGTACCAAGCTCATTGGAATGACGAACGAGATACAAAGCTGGAGAAGTATAAACCGATGGAACCCAGACGAGACACCCCCAGCATATGTAAAACCCAGCTACAGCGTACAATCGTGTATAGCGTGTTAGTTCTTGGATCGCAAGAAGTTCCTATCGAAGTGAACTATCATACCGCGATCGTGTGCGATGTCCATGGTGCACCAGTAACCCGATTCCCACCAGAAAAACTTTGTGATGTACACCAGCATGAGGCACGTACTGACGAGCATTGAGTCCGAGACTTTGCCATATAACTCATGCTGCTTGATGCAGTACGTGATGGCCAAAACAGCCCACGACATCATCCCAAAGCGACAGTTTGCGAACGTCTTGATGTCAAAGGAGCTTCCGATTCGGGGATACAGTTCCATACCCTGAGCAAAGCGTGTCAACAAGATAAGATAAGTAGCATTGGCGATTTGTTTACCCAGTAAAAGTCTGCTATGAAGTTTCCGGTTGATCCAGAGTCAGACGACGAAGGTGCAACGTGACCCTGCACAGAATTGCGTCAAAGTTCGTATGGTCAGCCGCACAGACTTGCCTTGCCTTGATATAGAGAAGAACACAAAAAACTATGCTGCCAAAAATGAGAGTAGAAAAGATCTCTCCGAGGTGATCGTAGACAAGAGCTGGATTGAACCATCCAAATCTAAACAAAGAGCTCACTCAGAGTCTGGAAAAACGAGGAAGAATTCTATGCACGACATACCTCCACATTGCCGTGTATACCACCAAAGTCGTCACATACGCCGCCATGCCATTGGCCTGCCAAGGTTTTCACAATGTCCTCAAGATCTTTGTTCTAGTAGAGAAAGAGCATACCTTGTAGACTGGACGATTTCCAGATGGAGACACGGGCCCTATAAACTTCTTGCCAGGCAATGCCAGCAGCAAAAACGCTTCAAACAATCCAAACGCTGCGATGATCTTGCATGCTGTGAGCGTCGGCCTCGGCCAGATCTCCACGAGCGCCTGAAATCCCTTGGCCTGCGCGAGATCCCAGAAGCTCGACACAGCGCCATGCCCGTGCACCAGCGTGTACCATCTGATCCAGAGCGAGGATTTCATGGCCGCGAATCAATGCGAGGGGAATACTCACAGAACGATCACAAAAGGCGGGCAGAAGAGAAGCAATCCGAGCATCGAGACGTAAGTCACGGACGCCGAATGCCCCGCGACTGTGCCAAACGATGAGGCCTTGGCGCCGCCAGCGCCGCCGCCCTTGATCTTCCTGGCATCCTTTCCTCCGATCGATGACGCCATAGATCCTAGCGCTAAACGAGAATAAGAAAAAACCTCAAGCACATAACATGGATCCAAATTCGAAAAAGAAAAAGTATGTCCGAACACAAAATCTCGACCGTCCGATGCTCGAGCTCTGGACCGTCCGATCGGGGAGCCTTCGTCTACCTCTGGATGTAGCCTTCATCGTATTGATCCTCCTCGCCATGGATGTCGATCTCGTCCAGGAGAGCTCCATGAGACGATTTTCTCCTCCCAGGAGCGAGGAGCGATGTCTCCATCGCATCGTCGCCAGCGCTACTTCGCCTACCGCTACGCCTGCTATCGATTAAGCTGGAGTTCCTGCTCTCCACGGGGCTTCTAATGTGGAGAATGGAGCCCATGGATGGCTGCCTGTTGGGAAGCGGCGGTAGCGCGGCCTTGAACAAAGCTGCCTCGAAGGAATGAGGCTGCTGCTGCGGCTGCTGTGGATCGTTGGGAAAGTTTCCAAAGCCCGAGAGTGACGACTGTGGAGAGGGACGAGCTTGAGTCTTCCTCCTTCCGGCCTCGCCACTCAAAGAGCCACCTTGACTAATGAAGGACGCGCGAGAGAAGGCGGCGCTGCCGAAAGAGGCGCCGCCAAGGCCAAGAGTGGAGGCCGAGGCTGGATCGATTGTTCCAGCTCCAAACATCTTGCTGTGCCTGCGAAGCGTGTCCATCTCTTGGCCTGTGGGAACGAACGTCCGTGCTCGGTATCTCATTGGAGCCTCTTGGCTTCCATCGCTGTAGAGCACGTAGTCGTGATAAGTTGGAGCAAACTGCAAGACAAGAGCTTTGCCTTTCGATGAGAAAACAAGACCTTGAGAATTTTTACCTGATGGAGTGTGTCGTGGACAACGTCGTTCAAGCTGAGAGCATGGCTGAGACTGGCCCAAAAACTTAAGTTCCCGGAGCCTCCGACGTTGGCTTCGGCGTACTGCTTGTATGGAAACGCGTAGACGTGCCCCATTGCCGCTATCAGCATCTCAAAGCACACCAAGAAGTTCTGGACGATCTCGGCCTCGTCTGCAGTTTTTATATATCCCATCTTCGCGACAATATAAACTCCCACTCCCTACGCAAATCGAGGAACATCACAACAATGAAACGAGAAGGGAAGGATTAAGTACCTGCCAGTACGTGAGAAAGACCACCGATTTGATGATGATAAACTTTGGCAGAGCTTTGTAAGGCCTCAAGAGATCAGCACAGGCAACGTAGAACAAAACGAGCACGTACAGCGCAACCGAGTAGGAAACGGTGTAGATGAGCGTGATGTAGAGATAGCCCGACGTGACGCTGAAGTTTCCATCGTCGTAGAGATCGAGCGAATAAAGGATGAAGGTGGCGGCGACCAGCAGCGGCTTGATGATCACAAACTGGATACCACCTTGCTTGCACCTCCGGATAAACACCCTGCAAAGCAATCACAAGCGCACTCATCAGCAAAGGAAACAACTTGTTCTTGTTTTTCTTTTGCGGTGCTGATCCTTACAGTGTTTGAGTCGTCCGAAATTGAGGAGAAGGCCAAGCACGAACCCGTCAAGGGGGATGGGATCCATGCAGCAAGTCATGAGATGCCAAGACGGCTTGAGCATTCGTCCCTGCAAGCTCTGGACGACAGAGCCAGGCCCGCCAACCCAAGCAAGGCACAAAGAAAGAAAATTATAGATGACAAAGGCCTCGTATCTGCATAAGAGAAACACCACCAAGAACAAAGAAGGAAAAATTTCCTATTCAGTCTCGCAGAAAAGAAGAATTTTTACCCACATTTGACACACAGAATCGAAGTAGACAGCGTACTCTTGATATAAAATGCATAGAAAGGACATCAACGCGAAGATCTGGCAGCCGGGAATTTGTCGAGATTCGGAGGCAAATTGGGAAGGAGCCACTTACTGGGACCATGAAGACGATTCGCACAGTGTAGCGCTGGAATGTAGGCTCCGTGTAGTTGAACAAATGCATCACGATGTGCCATAGCGCCATAAAAATCGCGGAGAAAGAAAAGAATCCCGCCAAGCCCAGCACGGCAGATGATGCCATCCGCCATGAACACACACAGGAACCCTAGCCCCTTCTTGCACAAGTAGCCGTTGGATCCTGTTTGGATCGGACGGTCCGCGGAGATACGTTTTCATGTTAAGTTACTGGGAGAAAAAAATCACTGGAGAGCGAAAGCTCTTCAAAGCTTTCAGTCTCTCCTCAATTTCATCTGGTTATACAGCAAAAACTGGATCATCACGACTCCGTTTGTCAAAACCCCGAGAATGCTACCAACGATCACTGAAAAAAAACCAAGAAAACTTTGATGAGCGAAAATCAATCGGACAACCGAGCGAGGCTTACTGCTTGTTGGAGCACTCTCTTGAATGCTTGTGAACAGACGAACTGTGGCAAAACAAAAACAAAAGCGATGGCTCAAAGCAAATAACAAAGTGACTACTTACCGAAACACCCAGCAAAGCTCATGAAATTGGTAAGAAAGCTAAGCTGGCCGGTGCTCTTGTTCTGGAACAAAACCAGTAGAGTTGAGAGAAGTCATCTTAGAAGCTGCAAACCTTGTAATTCTCGAAAATTTGCGGCAATCGCGAGCAAAAGAAGATGAGATGCTGGCAAGCCTGAAAAACAAAAAGAGTTTTTGAGATGGTCTTTTGCTGTAGAACTTCTTACGTAAAGGGCCTCGAACATATTCGCATCCAGCTTTCCTGCCAACAGCATCGGAGCAATTGCACAGTATCTGTTTTTTTAATCGTTAAAGTTAGAACTCGGAACTGCGAAGGAAGAAAGGCATCTCGAAAAGGATACAATGCTGATTTTGCCCAGACGTTAAGTCCACGATTTGGAGAGTATTGGTATAAAAGTGCCACCAAGACAATCGCTGAAGAAAACCATTCGATGTGAGTGAAAAATAAAAATCTCTTCCACGGTCACTTACTTTGAATGAGAAGAAACACTAGTTCTCCATAGGCCGAGAAGGCCAAGCCTTTGAAGAGGCAATACGCGAGAGCGATGGTAAATCCCACCACTTCCAACTCAAAGGATGGAATGCTCAGCCCCTGGATGCTCTTGTTCTTCATAATCACGTGAATCTGAGGAGTTCCAATCCAACGGATAGTCAATGCAATCGAGCTAGCTCGAATCGAAGAGATGGATTTTAGTTCATACGCTACCTGTGGAACCTTGACGATCGTGGAAGCAAGGATGATGCAGTAGCCCAGGACCTTGGAGAGGAGCGGGAGAATGCACTCCTTGGCGGGCAGTTGGGCGTTGCCGAGCGCATTGAGCGCGCAGCCAAAATCCATGCCTGCGAATTCGAGCTCCATCGGAAGATCAAGCGCCCAGCCCCAGCTCCATCGCCCTAAAAAGAAGATCTACAAGCAACGCTTGACCTGACGATACACGTGGCGTCTCGAGACTGGCGGAGGTTTTCTCATGGCATTAATACATTGTCGGCATTTTTTGCTATGTACGGCCTCGTATATACTATATAAAGCCAGAGGGTACGGTAGTGGCCCCCCACTTAGTTTCATTCTTTCATTCTAGAGCCTCCTTCCTCCCCTCCATGGCGGGAGCGGCAGCGAGCTCTTCGTGGCTTATCGCTTGGCCGGATAGGTCATCGGGCGCATCCTTTCCCGATTCTTCGTGCAGCTCCAGCGGCGTCTCCACGGCATTCGCATTGGCGGCGAGAGAAGGATTTCTAGGGTGCTGCTCCACGTCGCAAGAGGTTTCTCTGTGTCGTGGCAGGATTTCCTCGAGCAGGAGGAGGAATTTCAAGTCTGGTGCTGTCGCCGCCGCCGCGGCTGCTGCTACTGCTGCCAGCGTTGCTGCGGCTGTGGCTGTGGAGGAGCTCCCAAAATCTTCTTCATCAGGTAACTATGGCCGTGGTGCATTGGATTGTAAAGCTGGGATTTCCTTGCTCGACCAGAGGTTCCGGTGGAGAATTTGGTGATTATCGGGTCTGGTCCCGCGGGATACACTGCTGCCATCTATGCGGCTCGCGCGAATTTGAAGCCCCTTGTGTTTGAGGGATATCAGGCTGGAGGAGTTCCTGGCGGCCAGCTAATGACGACCACAGAGGTGGAGAATTTTCCTGGATTTCCCGAAGGCATCTCAGGACCAGACTTGATGGACCGGTAAGTATCAACTTTTCTATTCTTTGTTTTTTCACAAGCTTTTTCCGGATGTAGGATGCGAAAACAAGCTGAAAGATGGGGAGCAGAACTAAGAACCGAAGACGTGGAAGTGGTGGATGTTTCAATCAGACCATTCACTGTGAGGAGTAGCGAGCATGAAGTAAGTACGTTGACCAATGTGTTCTTTTCAAGTTGGTGCTCGGGAACTGACGGATGAAAAACTCTCAATCCAGGTGAAATGCCATACGCTCATCATCGCTACCGGCGCAGTGGCAAAGCGGCTTGGACTGCCTAGGGAGCATGAATTTTGGAGTAGAGGAATCAGTGCCTGCGCTATATGCGATGGTGCCTCTCCGATTTTCAAGGCACAGGAGCTTGCAGTGGTCGGAGGTGGGGATACTGCAACCGAAGAGGCTCTATACCTTACAAAATATGCCCGGCATGTGCATTTGCTAGTGCGAAGAGACCAGTTGCGGGCATCGAAAGCAATGCAGGATAGGTAGGACTTTTGCTCAGTAGAGCGAGCAACTTCACGAGTTCTCTTTCTTTTTTTCTGTTGTGTGGTGAAGCATGCTAGTCTCGTCTTTGTGGCTGACAATCCCGGCTAACTCAGTTCGTTTTCTTGTTCGCAGGGCGTTCAACAATCCAAACATCACGGTGCACTTCAACACGCGAGTTCTAGATGTTGTTCCTAATGACAAGGGACAAATGGCGGGTGTTTTGCTAGAGGACTCGTCCAGTGGCATTCGGAAGACCTTGCAAGTAAAAGGCCTCTTCTATGGTATCGGGCATCAGCCAAACAGTCATCTTCTAGCAGGACAAGTGGAGCTGGATGAAGCTGGTTACGTTGTCACAACGGGAAGTGGAGGCGAGACGTCAGTGGAGGGAGTGTTTGCGGCTGGTGACTTGCAGGCAAGCTAAGCGCTTCTATTCTTCGTTCTTTTTTTCACGTTTTGGTCTTGACACAACAGGATCACGAGTGGAGACAAGCAGTTACTGCTGCAGGCTCTGGCTGCATGGCCGCATTGGCTGCTGAGCGCTATCTAGTCCGGAATAACCTTCTTATCGAATTCCATCAGGTAAGTAACCTTTAGAACTCTATTGTTTGTCTTAGTTTTACGTCCGACCTGTGCCATTTTGCAGCCAAAACAGGAAGAAACTAAGAAGGAGCTCACAAGCGAGGATGTCGAGATGGGATTTGATATCACTGCGACCAAGCACAAAGGCCAGGTAAACTGTTTTTACTCTGTGCTTGTTAGCAATCTAAATTACTATCTTGTGTGACAGTATGCATTGCGGAAGCTGTATCACGAAAGCCCTCGTCTCATTGCTGTTCTCTACACATCACCAACGTGTGGCCCTTGCAGAACACTAAAGCCAATCTTCAACAAAGTAAGCTTAGATATATTCATCGTGATCATTGCTCATATGGTCCACAGGTGGTAGACGAGTTCAACAAAGAGGTCCATCTTGTCGAGATTGATATCGAAGAGGATCCCGAGATTGCCGAAGCGGGCGGAGTGATGGGCACGCCGTGCATCCAATTCTTCAAGAACAAAGAGAAACTCACGTAAGTTTCACAGCCTCCTTGCAAAGTAAACAGCGTCTTTTTTTCTGTGTTGATTCAGGGAATTCGCAGGAGTGAAGATGAAGAAGGATTATAGAGAGTTTATAACGTCAAACAAGTAAGTAGCTCATATTTTTCGTGGATCGATTTTGTTCCATCCACTGAGCCAAATTCTCTATCGGGGTTGTTTTATATAAGCGAATAATCATTCACAACAACTAAAAGATACCATGTTTGAAACAAGCATATACCACGTTAGAGCGAGCTTTGAATCGCTGGAGGAGCTCGAGTACTTAGGGCCCGATGTAGCGGCTGACAAAGAAGAGGAATCCATAGGTGACGAGCATGGCCGCCCATCCGCCCAGCGTGACCCGGAGCGCCGCCTTGCCCATGGCGGCTCCGCCCAGCCGCGCGCCCAGCGCCCCGAACGCCGCCAGCGCCGCCGTGGACGACACCAGCAGCGCCGTGAGGCGGTACTTGTAAGTCCCCACAAACGCGCCCGCCAGCAGCGGCACCGCGCCGCCCACCGAGAAGGCCAGCGCCGACGCCGTGGCGGCCTGCATTGGATTGGACAGGCCGTCCAGATCGATCCCCAGCTCGTCCCGCGCGTGAGCTTTGAGCGCTCCATCGGCGTGGCTCGACAGCTCCTCCGCGACTTGCTTGGCCAGGTAGTAGCTCAGCCCGCGGCTCACGTAGATCTGCGCCAGCTCTTCCAGCTCTCGCTCCGGCCCGGCCATGTGTTCTTGCTTCTCCTTCTCCAGATCGGCCAGCTCGGTGTCGCGCTGCGAGTAGACCGACACGAACTCGCCGATCGCCATGCTGCAAGCTCCCGCGATGAGCCCCGCGATGCCCGAGAGGAGCGAAGCTTTGACGTCGTACTTCACTGCGCTCACGCCAACCATGATGGAGGCGACGGAGATGAGGCCATCGTTTGCTCCTAGCACCATTGCTCGCAGCCATGGCGAGCGCTGCGAGTAGTGTGTGTCGTGGCCGTCTTCCTCCGGGCGGAGTGGATCGCCCGAGCTCGAGTGGAGCAGGATTGGAAGCCCCGGAACTCCCCCGCCTCCTCCTCCTGGAACTCCTGGAGCTGCCGCTACTGCCGCTAGTGCTTGGTGGTGGGAGAGTGACGAGAGTGAGAGTGTGTGAGACTGGGAGGCGTGAGACTGTGGCGTGGGAGGCTGCGAGTCGAGCGTGCAAAGTGAGAGGTGATGCTCTGCTGCTGCTACCATCGCCATCCCCGTGGTGGTGGTGGTGGTGGTGGTGGTGGTGGAATGATGATCTCCTCCTCTAACCATCTTTCTTCTCTTTCACAGAGCTTGGAGCTATAGCAAAGCGATGGATTTGGAGGAGCAAAGCGTCGTCGTGCGAGGGCATGAGGAATTGGAAAAGCTGCTGCACAAGATATATACCATGTCGGTAAGTGTCCAGAGTCACTGTCTTTGCATTCCCCGCTTACTTCTCTCTTTGGTCCCGCAGAGCAGTGGAGAAGGATGGCGTGACGAGGAGAAGGGGAGCAAGAAGAAGAATAATGGAGTAAAAAAGCTCCAAGGTGGTGGTGCTGCTGGTGGTGGTCACGCTCGCAATCGTAACGACGACATTGTCAGCAAAATTCTGTGCTCTCAGATGCTACTTGTGGCGATGCTGCTGCCCGATGCTCGATGCTCGCTGCTGTGCGTGTTTCTTTTCGAGGATTGCCGGCGGTCAAGCAGCAGTTGGGAAAAGTAAGTTGGCATTCTCTTTGTGTGGGTGTACTAATGTTCTCCAGATTCTTGCTTGCACTACCCGTTCACAGTTGGAAAACACCTCCGCGGCAGGAATCAATGGAGGCTTGCGTCTCGGGAATCCAAAATCATTTGCGAGAGGAACAGGTGGGAGAACAGGACAGCGGCCTCTCATACAGAGGAGAAGAACAGGGAAGTTTTTGGAGCAAGAGTAAAAAAACAGGGAAGAAAGAAGGAAGAAGCGCCAATCTTCCTCGACAAAGGGAGAGAAGGAAGAACAAGGAAGGAAGAAAATTTGGGAACGCAAGGAAGAAAGCGTAACGGATCACAGTAAAGGTCCGACGGTCGAGACGCGGCCAAGTCGGCGGGCGGACGTTGTAGTTGGAAACCAACGATCCAGATTGGAAGCCGGTTGGTAAGAGGCGTTAAGCGGACGAGAAAGAATCAAGGGACACCACCTCCACTACACACTATTGGGATAAGAAGATTAGTCCAATACAATCAAGGAAGAAAGCATCAATCCACCAAAACTTTATAAACAAGAAAAAAATAAGCTCGGTTGAGTGGGAAGAGGCATCAAATCTTCGCATAAATCGAGAGTGTGGGAGGAGATATGATAGGAAGAAGCTCGAGGTAAGCTTTTATTGTCTCTCTCTTCTTTGCTCTTGTTCTTCAATCAGCTGAGTTCTGCAGGGCTCCATCACTCTGGACGCGGTGAATACTTTTGAGCTGAGCCATCTTGGAGTCTCGGAGTTGCTGCTGCTCGTGATGGTGATGGTGATGGTGCTGATGCTGGCCTCCTCGATTTCCAACTCGCAGAGCGGTGCTCGAGGTGGAAGCGCTGCTGCTCCTCTTGCTCGAGGACGCGTTGTGGTGAGGAGAGTGCCTGGAGCTCCCGGCGGCGAATGATCTCGCCACAGCGTCCCTGTTGGAGATGCCCCCCTTGATGGGCTGCTTGTTGAGGAAGATGAGATTTGGAGCGAGGCCAGTGACGAATCTCTTGAGCTGTTCTTCGCCAACATTAACGAGCACTGGATTTCCAACCAGGTTGATGGCCACGAGGGACGTGTAAGCCGCGGCAATCTGGCCCAAGGATTTTGTGGAGGCGAGGCGGTTGAAGCTGAGGTCCAGGCACGAGAGCTTCGTCAGCCTGTGGAGGCCTTCCACTTCGTTGATCTTGTTGCAAGCCAGGTAAAGCTCGCGTATGGAGGTACAGTTTGCCAGTCCTGGAAGATCAAGGTGAGAAGAGATGAGAAGCTCCAAGCTAACTAACGTGTTACCTTGTCCGATTCGCAGGATCCTGTTGTACGAGAGGTTTAACGAGCGTAGCTTGGTGAGCTCCCGGAGTCCTTCGATGACAGTGATTTTGTTCCTCGAGAGGTCGAGAGAATGCAAACCTTTGGGAAGAACTCCTGGAGTGATCCTCACTGCAAAGGAACTTAGCAATTGCGAGGTGAGTTTCGAGCTTACCGATAGCGTTGGCCGAGAGCTTGAGTGTTTTCAAATGAGAGAAGGTGGACAGGCACGGTATGAGAGTGAGGCCGATGCCACTGAAATGAGCTGTTGTCGAGTGGAAATCCAGTGAGCGAGCCACCGAGTTTGCGAGCTCTACGTCCCTGCTGCTGTGGTTGCTGCTGCGAGCAGCGTGATTCGTCGCCGACGTCTCCCCAACCGGGAGCTCGATCAATGGCTCGGTTGACGATGTGTCGATGCTCTTCACCCATTCTTCCACTCGGTCCTGCGTAGTGAACATCGCGGTGGTGTTGGAGTGGAAGTCACTAGATTGGAGAACGACTCTTGTTCTCTGTTGATCATCTTCATCGTCGCCAAGCTGATCATCTTCGTTGTGATCGTCGTCGCCAGGCTGCTTACGTTCTTCTGGATCCTCCGGAAGAGCAAGAGCAAGATTGGCTCTAGCATCGTCAGTCGCGTCGTTGATGTTGATGGCGATGGCGTTGGTGTTGGTGGCATCAATAACCTCCTCCGACGTAGCAGAGCTCTCGGTAAAGTCGCGTCCATACAGTCCCGGGTCACTGAAAACGTCGCCAACTTCTAGAGCCACTTGTTCTTCGTGTGCCGCGTGTTCGAAGGAACTTTGCGTGTCCCCTTGGATCGCCTGGAGCTCTACGTCCGGGGACGTGATTGCTGGCGCAGCTTGCGACGCTGGAGTCGTGGAAACAGTGAAAGACTCGTCACCTTCTGGAAGTTCGAGCTGAAAGAACAAAACAGCGAAGAATGAGCCAAGCAAAGGTCTAGACTTTTCGTACCTTTATCTTGTTCGCCTTGCGGCTAAAAACTGGCAAGCAAAAGACCTTCCCCATGATCGATCAAAGATGAAAGCTATGAAAACTAGAAAGAAACTAAGGGAAAAAAAAAAGGGAACTACGAAGAACCTCGCCGAAAAGGCTACATTTGAGTTGCAACTTGGAGCGCCACCAGTTGGATGCTATTAGCCGTAATCCACAGAGACTCCCTGGACCATGCGACACGCCCTCCAAATCTGCGACTCGCTCGCTCCCTTGTTACACGCCGCCGCCGCCACCACCAAAGATGGTTGCTCGAGAAGTCTCGCTTCTCGCTCCCTCAAGAGCTGTGGCGTGGAGCTCCGAGACACTGGGACTAGAAAAGTGGCCAGAGTGAAGGGATTGATGGGCTTTTGCTGTGAGAAAGAAGATCTATCTGTCTAAGCAATGACCCAATGGCGGCGATCCCTTTCCAGTCTCACCACAAGGAAGAACCAACCGGAGCCAGAGAGAAAAAAGAAAAGTCCGATGCGCTGTGTAGCGCCGCTTCCTCCAACCCTACAGCCCACCGTCGTGCTTCTTGGGTCCTACGCGCTTATAAAAATGGAGGGCAAAAATTTTTTTTCTTCCTCTTCTTCTCCTTTCTTTGTTTCTCTTGCATCACTGGAATCTGTGACTCCAAGCGTTTTGGCTTTCCTTTGTTGGGTGGTGCCTCTCTTGTCCTTTTCTCTATAACTGCCTTTGGCCACCACTTATTTTGCTTTGGATCAAATCCCGGGAGTGGTGAATCGAAGGACGCGTCGAGAGCTCTAAATTCTCTTGGTCTGGGGGGGGCTGCTGACTTGCATTTCTTCTGGGAAAAGCTTGTTTCTTCCAGCAGCCTCTAGAAAAGACAAAAATGATCTACGTGTAGAAACTAGCCTACCTGATGAGATGGAGAAAGCACTTACAAGTGTGTCCGGTGGAGCAAATCTTTACTTGGAGGATCCATCATTCAGTCCACTCGCAGGACTAAAGTCCACTCTCGCCTGAGACTCAGCCGCGTGGTGAAGCTCGTGTCTCGGGAGACAAACACAGTGCTTACCTCGTGCTGCTCCCATTGCCAAATCGAGAAAACGATACGTCAGTCTCATGCTCACACATGAAAGATCGATAGATCATAAGATTGGCTGTATGGATTCAGAAAAAGGGAAACTCATCCTTGTGACGTGTAACTTCCACGGGATAACAATAGACTTTGCGTCGTTCTCTCGTTGGATTTGACCAACATTTGGGAGAACTCCACAAGTTTCATGGGGTGGGGACTTCCGGTTATGAGAGAAAAGTTGAAAAAATGAAGAGGGAAATGGAATGTGAATCTCTCTTTCCACAAGCTCAAATGCCCTCCATTCTACTCAAGGATAGTCCATACAAGAAAGAAACAAAGACTTTCCCTTCCATTCCAGTATGGACACTCGCAAGCACGGAGGCAATCGTCTGGAGAAGAACAGAGTCCAAGTCTGCGTGTACTTGTTTCATTGAGCGTTTGTTTTGTGGAGGTGATCAACTCCTGAAGCTCAAGACGATACCATCCGGCTAATCGATCAGGCAGAGAGGATGTGAAACGTACTGGAGCATTCAATCCGGTACTTTAGGTTTATCTATGGATTGGAGTTTGAGAGTTTTGTCTTGTGGGACGTCCAGGGTGCTCATAAGGGCTTGATTGCAACTTGTGCAATGGCCCACAAGACAAAATCACTTTTAACAGCCACATTACACTCCAAAAAATTCAGGTTTGAGCACACACAAGTGTCATGCACACACAAATCTTGTCGTAATGGATAACCTACGTCCAATGGCAAGCAACTGTGGTTAGGGTATGGATCCATCACTGCTCCTTGAGCTTGCCACACTTAGCATTGCCGCATGATGAGTCAATCAATGGGCTGTGATTGATCAATGGGTTTAGCGATTGATTGATCGATCACACCCAGCCTATTGATTGATTAAAGGGCCACATAACATTAATCAACAATCCAGGGTGAGTTAGTATGGGCAAATTAATGGATCCTTCAAAGCAATAAAGCATTTATACATTTGCACAAAGACTTTACATACATTTGTGAACTGTTGAGGTTACTCACCACCTTGATTTGTAGGTTAAAGTTACAAAAATTTGGTCCTAAGTCCTCTTTTCCTTACTTATAAGCAAGTTTTCATAGATCATCATGCTCATAAGGGGGCTAGCATCTCATGGAAAATGTCACATAGTGCCTCTACCTCCTCACTTAGAACTAGTAAGTCACAAGGAGCCACTGTCATATGGCACCTCCACCTCCTCACTTGTAACCATTACATAGTGAGGAGCATTCCCCTCGCTAGCTAAAGCATCCTCCTCATCATATGGAGCCACTAGCTCGCTGGCTGAGGGAACCTCAACTAAAGCCTCCTCCACCATCACCTTGGGCCCATATGAAGTGCTTTGTAAAGAAAAAATTCCAAAAAGAAACAAAGGATATCTACTAAACTTACATGTCATA